GCGCGCGGGGGGCGGCGTAAAATGTACTAGTAGCGTGTGTGGTGAGTCTGCCTCTCACAGGACATTTACGCGTGACGGGACCAGGGCTGATGGTAATGCGCGCAGTACTTGTGACGTGCGTGTTGTTGTTGTCGTTGCTCGCCTATTGTTATGCTTCGAGTCTGCGCTTTTTGCTTGTTCTCTGGACGCTTAGGGACTGTTTCCGTTCGCCTAATCCGCGCGGTGGCCGCCCGTGGCTGCCACCGCCGCTTGCTGTCGTGCTTCACTAATGCCCTTCTTCGTGCCGCTAGATGGCGCAGGCCTCTTGCGCGCCCCACACCCTTGCTCACCCATCCCCGATCCCCACCTTACAGCCACCTATGCATGTATCCCTCCCCAGCACCTAGTTGCCGACGTAGTTGTCTTACTTACGCTTCACGACGCTATTGTGATGACATACGATTCACCTTCCTGTATGGCGGTTACGCGCCGTCGATAGATAACATGGTTAAGTATGAGAGTCGTCGAGATGCTGCCGAAGCGCACGACATATGAAGCAGGCCGCTGGAACCCGGCTCCGCATATGTAGATGTCGAGCTCAAGAGCTTCGAAGTGGAGCCCACGCACGCGTTGCGGACGCATGTGCCATGTGCAGCGAGTTGCAAGCGTAGGTTCATCACGCGGACGTCATACTGTAAGTGTCATCGACAAATAACAACATGGCCACGAGAGTCATCGAGATGCTGTCAAAGTCCACGACACATGACGCGGGGCGGGGCAGACTGTGTAAAGATATCGAGCTCAACAGCTTCGAGGTGAAGCCCACGCACGCGTTGAGGACACGCGTATAAGAAAATGCAGCGAGTTGCAAGTCTGTAAGTAGCGACTGAATAGCGCGAGATATACTGTAGCGCAGGCAGATGGTTTCGGTTGCCCGGTTACGCGTCCCCTTTGCGAGGCTCCGCCTGCGCCTGCTCCTGCGCCTGCTTCATCTTCTGCCCGAGAATCTTCGCGCTGACCTGCATCATAACACCGACACAGCTCAGCTGCTCTCATCCGAAAGTACAAGGACGCAGGACGAGACGGACGTTACGGATGTGCATCGCCGCGCGCTCAACGCCGAACTCCTTGCTCCGCTTGTAGTGCGCGAGCGCCTCTTCTAGGCGGCCGCCTGTGCGTGCGTTGACGTGTTTTTTGAGCAGCGGGACGTGCGAGGACGGGAGGGACTTACAGGCTTCGAGAACTGCGGCGAGGTTGAACGCAATCTCGGGATCTTCGGGCTGGAGCGACGCCGCGACGCTGCGAGGGGAAGCGTGTTAGGTACAAGGCGAAGGGGAGGAGGGGGACGCACTGGAGATGGTGCAGCGCCAGGTCTGGCCTGCTTACCGGCGATATGATGTACGCGCTGGCGAGGTCTGCGCACGGACGCAAGGCTCGTGAGCAGACGCGAACGGGGACAGCGCAAGAAGGCGGACGTACTGGTGTGCGCGTCGGCGCTGGACGGCTGGAGCGCGATGGATTCCTTCCACGCGGCGATCGCCTCATCGTACTCCTCTTGAACGGTTAGTTTCTCTGAGAGGGCAAGGGGGCAGGCCGGACATACTGAGGTGGTAGTGCGTCACGCCGAGGTTGAAAAGCGAGCTCGCGCTCCGCTTGATGTCGACGCTGCGCTGGTAGAGAGCCTGGTCGCGCAGGAGGTTTGGGTCAGCATCATCTAGCGATCGTCAATGTAAACGGGATATGCGGGCGTACCTTGGCGGCCTGCACGTCGCCCTCCTCGAGCTTTTGCGTGCCTTCCTCCAAGCACTGCAGGGCTTCTACTTCAGCGGGGTCCACCGTGCTCGACTGCTCCGACGTCGAGGTCGCCCACCCTGCATGTTTGACGTTCTCAGAACATGTGCTTAGAGAAGAGCCGCGTGCACTTACGCCGCTGGGTCATTGACCCCCACAGTGAGGCGTGCTTTTGTGCTCTGCTTGCATTCGAGCGGGCAGCATGCGCAGCAGGTCTTTGGGCAAGTGACGAGAAAGCCCGAGCAGCGCTAAGGCCTTTGATGCGGTTCTTCGCAGCTGAGCGTAGGGCAAGCGACATTGTATACGTATGCCCGGACGAGAGAAGGCTGCAACTTGAGCTTGAAGTCCGTCGATTGTAAGCACCGTTGCCGGCGTGCGACACGTGATCCTGCCATTACAGGAGCGCGTTAAACGTTTGCGGCGCGCGCCAGTGTCACTCCCAAGCACCCTCGTCCTCGTTTCTTCCTCGAGCTCCTTGTCCGGTCCCTGCTGCAGCCCAAGAGCCCTCCGTCTTTGCGGTCCATTTAGCCTCCAAGATCCGGAGTGTTCTACTGTCGTGGCTGCTATAGCTGCTAGCCGCACATGCTAAACTACGATCCACCATGGTACTAGTGAGCGCGTCGGTCGACGCCTACCTCTTCACCGCAGTCGCAGTCGCGCTCCCCATCTACTTTCATCTGCGCCAGAGGAACAGTGGCTCGCGTCCAAAAGTGCCATACGAACCTTACCTCACCATCCTCGTCGGCCTGCACACGCTGTACATCCTGTACAACCTCATCCTCTGCTGGCCGCTCAACCTGTTCAGCCGGCTCCACATCCCGCTCAACGCCTCGCCAGACACGATACGCAGCACCATTATCAGACGCGCAGGGCTGGATGCGAATGCAGCGCTACCCATGTCGCTCGAGCACCTCTTGACCCGCCTCTCGTCCTTCGAGATGCGCATGCTCTATGTCAGGTTCTTGCTCGTCGTCTCACTCGTAGCCTTTCTCATAGCGCTGACGCGTCCGCTCGGTATATGCGCGTAGGTTCGGGCAAGCAGTTCTGCAGGAGTGTGAACATTGCAGGACATTCGACGACTACGCGCTCTATGCTCTGCCCCGTGCGCTCGCAGAGTATATCCGTGAAGTGGCCGTCGTCGGAGTGCTCACCATCCGGGGGTCAGGGCGCGAACGCTGGCGGACATACGCCGTGGGCGCGCTCGCATGCGGTGCGGTCGTGGAAGCCTATTGGGTCGCCACTGCTACGATCGACGTGCCTTCCAACGGCCTGGACGTGACCATGGTGCGTACATCATAGCATCGCCCCTTCTTTTCCCCAATCCCAATTCGTCCCAGTGGCACGACAACCTCTGGGCCCTCCGCCAGTTCGCTTTCCTCCTTACCCCCCTCGCTACGCACTTGCTCCTCCCCGCGCGCCCGCAGGCATTCTTCGACCCTGTGGCGCCCGCGCTCGAGGCCAGCGCCGCGCTTGAGCAGGCGTCCACGCGCCTCGCGACGCTACGGTACGCGCGCGGCGCGATCATGCGTGACCCGCAGATGCGTGCGGCAGCGGGTGAATGGTGGGAGCGCCAGCGCGTCGAGGGTGCGTGGGCACGGGAAGACGAGGGCGTGCAGAGGGTCGCGGAGCGGCTCGGGAAGGGTTTTATCGAGGGTGCGGGGGAGGGAAAAATTCGGACTATTGCGAGGGAGGCGGTCGCAAGGCTGAGGGCGGGGCTTGTGTCGACGGAGGGCGCGGGGCCTTCATCTTGATGCCGTGTAGCTTTGGGTGCAACTTACTGACCGCTGGGAGGACCATTGTGTCAGCCGGTTTGAGACGACAAGAGTGCATAGTGAAGTGTATTGGCAGGATGGGCACAGATCCCATTCAAGGCGAAGACAGGCCTACCCTAGCGGTCCGGTCTACTCTCATCACGTCGCCATGAGTCTGTGTCCAGGCCTCCACGTCCTCTACGGCGACGGGCGGCGGGACTTAGGTCATAGCCCATGAACCGACCTCGATCTGATGCAGTACCATAACTCGTCCCACCTCTAGACCTGCCATACGGCATATATGCACCCCCATGCGCCGAGTCATACGAACCACGGGATCCACGAGAGCCACTGTAGAAATCCTGCTGCCCGCGGCCGCGCCATCCCCTATGGTTTCCGTATCCGCTACTAGAGGGGTATCCCCTAGCAGACGAAGGCGGGAAGAACGAGTCGATGCGCGTCTGCGGCTGAGGCTGGGGCGGCGCGTCGCGCAAGCGGTCCAGGATGGCGAGCACGCCCTCACGTGTGTACTCTGTGCGCTGTTCAGAAGGCGGGAGGTTGAGGATGCGTGTGTAGCCTTCATGCGGGGAGGGCGCTTGGTATTGGGAAAGGAAGCGGGAGAGGATGGGAAGTGCCTCTTCGGGCGTCTTGATCGTTGGGTGGTCGGTGCCTAGTAGGTGAACGTCAGCTTGAGAACGAGGCACGAGCGGCGAGCGATTCACGTTGTTGCAGCCGCTGTGCGCATACCTTGGTGCTATCGTCAGGTTCTGGCGTGGTCCGTTGCTGCGGGTAGTACGGGAGAGTCGCTCACTTCATACGGCGTGTCGAAAACGAGGACCCACGCCTCCGTACCCGGGAACTCACGCGCGATGTCTATCCACGTCGCTCGCTGTCTAGCGAGCATCAGCATGCGAGGCTCTGTCACTCACCATTGGCAGTCCTGCATGCCATTCCCTTCCGAGAGCGACTCACCGAGCGTCGAAGTTAGTCCGGTCGATGCACACGGACAGGCCTTCCTCGAGGCACTGCCGCGCAAGCGCTTCCACACGCTGTCTGCTCCCCAGGTCATCTTGGTTGCATCGCCGGAACCGCGGGACGTGCTGCTCCAGTGCCTGTGCGAGGGTGGACTGGAGGACGAGCAGCATTAATACGAGGCCTGGTGACCATGACCCACAATATAACTTACCTTCCCTGAGCCTATCAGCCCCACTAAGAGCAGAACTACTTTTCCGTTGCTGTCGGTGCTCATATTGTTCACGGCTTGACGGTGCTACCAATACGCACTTCTTCAGTAAAAACACTGGACGTGTAGCAAAGCTTAGCAGAACGCTAATCACGCCTCTGAGTTGACACAGTCAGTATAGATGCGACTCTTCTGCATGAACGGAAGCTCTGAGTGGTGTCCCTGCTGCGTTTGTTTTGCAGTCCCACGACGCTGCCCTGCGATTCTGACAAATTAGGCTGACAAGAAAAAGTTGCGGTTCAGTGGTGTAGTTGGTTATCACGTCTGTCTCACACATGTGATTGCTCACAGGAGGTCTCCGGTTCGAGCCCGGACTGAACCAATTTTGGCACACCCTCCTCGGATAACGTGCAATTTGATTTTTGTTTCATGACCCGCAGGTGTCGAGCACAACCTTCTCTGTTCCTCGACTCCTCTGGCACCATGCGCATATTTGATTAATTCCTAGATAATTGCGTGGAAACGGAGGCTGCAGCCATGCACCGCAGTCAAGACAAAGGCTGTTATGGTGTGATCCCTCCTCTCAGAAGTGCTGGGGAGAACTGTCAATTCGATGCGCCTTAGCATGAGCGTTCCTTCTTCTACGGCTGTTAACTTACACGCTTGCGCCTAGCAGCTTGCTGATTATCGCCCCTACCTCCGTCCCAGGTCATTTCCCTGAAACATCTCGATGTTCTCACCGCTAGTACTAACCATTGATCCAGCATCCTTCTGTGGGCTTGCTTCCGCGCCGCAAGTCCCCGGAAGCACAAGCATTGGTCAGCCAGCGTAATTATATAGTCCTTATAGCGAGAAGGACGTCCACGACTAGGTCCACGCCCAGTATGTCATCCACCCATCCGCCATACACCACCACCAGTGAGATCGACCAGGTGCGCATTGTGTCCTGTAGGGGGAACCTGTATCTTCGGGCTGACTTCTCACCCCCGGTGTGCAGATACATGAACGGCTACGGAATAATTTCCGTGTGGGTACGACGCGGCCTCTCAACTACCGCCGGAGGCAGCTGCACCAGCTTGGGCGGCTCGTGCAAGAGAATCTGCCGGCGCTAGAGGCAGCGGTCAACGAGGACCTCGGGAAGCCGCGGCTGGAAGCGGTAACTGAGTTAAACGGCTTGATGTCTGGCATTAGGTATGCTATAGACAACCTCGAGGAATGGGCACGCCCGGAGAAGGTGGAGGTCGTGGATGACTTCAAGAAGGAGTGGGATGCGACGGTGTACAAGGTCCCACAGGGCGTGGTTCTGGTTATTGGGTGAGTGCTGACATCTGTGGTTCTGCTACATCACCCATTCCCGCGTAGGCCTTGGAACTACCCGTACATTCTCAACCTCGGCCCCCTCGTAGGCGCCATAGCGGCAGGCTGTGCGTGTGTAGTCAAGCCCTCCGAGCTGGCTCCCGCGTCGTCCCAGGTCATGACGCACCTCATCACCCAGTACCTCGATTGGGACGCGTACGCAGTCGTAAACGGTGCCATTCCGGAGACAGCACACCTCCTCGACCTCCGGTGGGATCACGTCCTGTTCACAGGCAGCGGTAGGACCGGGCGCATCGTCTCCGCCGCCGCGGCAAAGCACGCAACACCGGTGACACTTGAGCTCGGCGGAAAGTCGCCCGTCGTGATTGCAGACGACGCGGACCTCGACCTAGCGGCGAAGCGTGTGCTGCATGGCAAGGGTCAGAACAGCGGACAGGTGAGATCCCGTAGTTGGCGTGATGCACGGGATGGAACCCTTCTGAGCGCACCCATACAGCTATGCGTGTGCCCGGACCATGTGTACGTGCCTCGGGCGAAACAAGACGCGTTCATCGACGCGCTGCTCAAGCATTACGATGCTTTCTGGCCGAAGGGCGCATTTCACGAGGAGGCGCGCTGGGGCAAGATCATTAATCCCCCGCACCACGAGCGGCTACGGAACCTGCTCCAGCGTACGAAGGGCGAGCTCGTCAAGGGCGGCGAGTATGATGGCGACAGGCGGATAACGCCGACAATCGTCAAGAACGTTGCGCCGGACGACTCATTAATGGAAGAGTGCGTGGCTTGCAAGTCGGTGTCGGTGTCGAGATACTGACGTTGTGTGCAGCGAGTTGTTTGGGCCGATTTTGCCTTTGATCCCGGTCGATGACATCGAAGAGACGATAAGGTTGATCAATGAACAGTGAGCGCATTGTTGCTTCTCCAGGGGGGATCGGCCACTAAGCTCTCGTGTACGAGAACTGTCCCGCTGGTCATTTATCTGTTTACGAACAGCGAGGATGTGAAACAGCAACGTAGGTGTCTATTCACTCCCCATAGCTGCGATGAATTGACCGTGCGCAAAGTTTTGGAGCGGACGAACAGTGGTACTCTTGTGATCAACGATACCATAAGTCAACTCGCGGTATACGAGATGCCGTTCGGTGGACAACGGGATTCTGGGCGTGCGTTGACTTCATCCAATACCTACCTGTGGCGCTGACCTGTGTTCATGTAGACGGCAGATGGCACGGCAAATACAGCTTCAACACGTTCACCCACCTACGAAGTCACATCAGCGTCCCACTTGCGTATGTGCTCGCCCTTGTCATATCCTAGGGTGTCGACGTTGACTATGCTTCTACCAGCGCGGAGCCGGTCATGAGCAGCCGTTACATGCCATACACGGACGAAAAGTATGAAGCAGTGGCTACTATTGTTAAAGCGTCACTGCCAAAGTTATGAGCTGCCATTCTACAGGCTGTTGTTCCTTTTGATGCTTCGGGGACGTTCACTATGTGGCATATGAGGCATATATGCACGCTAGTTATGCAGTTGACGGGATTCTCTAAGGCACGTTCGTACTGCGGCCGGCTGGACTTGAGCGGTTGAGCGGCTAAAAAGCGTTCAGTTGGTGTGCAATTAAACGAACGGATACTGTGGTCCGCTAGTTTAGCCGTATGAATATGTGATCATCACCAGATGCTTCGGTGGTGGACTCGAGTCTGATCACTGATCAGGCTTGTAGATTCTGAATTCGATGAGACGGTTGGCGCGGTCCCGGGGTGCTGTGGGAGTTCCAACACAGCACCAGAGTGGACATGAGTGACGGGGACCGTGGAGGACAGATAACAAAAATTAATGACTCAAGCCGGGATCGAACCGGCGACCACCTGTGTCCTTGTAAGACAGGTGTGATAACCACTACACCATTGAGCCTCTAAGTGAGCGCACAGTGTTAGTTACATTATCTCCGGCCAGAGCATCTGAATCGAGGAGAGTTTCGGCAATTGCCCTTCAGTTCAGGCTCTCAGTGCCGAGCGACCACCGTTGACGTTGTTCTTTGCCTGAACTGTCGCCAGTGGCAGAAATCTATGTGTAGCCACCGCAAGGAACGTTGAATGCCATGGACGCCGCCGCGCTACCGCCATGTGTCATCGCGTGAGTGGTCACCACATATACATCATTCATTCTGCTCAGACAGCCTGAAGAATGGTCTGTGACTTCTTCCACCCGAACGTGGGCGGTGTCGAGAATCACATCTACATGCTGAGCGCCAACCTTTTAAAGCGAGGACACAGGGTATGCTTGATGCCTTGGGTTTGAAGTTGAACCGACTTCAGTACCAGGTGATAGTCATTACGCACAGCCATCCCCCGGATCGCGTCGGCATTCGATGGCTACTTCCTGGGCTGAAAGTCTACCATATACCTTTCCCGACAATTGCCTCATCCGCTACTCTACCGAACTTCTTCACTTTTCTACCTTATTTGCGCTCTATCGTCTTGCGGGAGGGGGTTGAGCTTATACATGCTCATGCAAGTCTTTCGTCGCTCGCGCACGAGGGGATTTTGCACGCACACCACATGGGAGTGCGCACTGTCTTTACCGATCACAGCCTCTTCGGCTTCGATGATGCTGCCAGCATCTTGACAAACAAGCTATTGGAAGCTGCACTCAGAAATGTCGATGCAGCCATCTGCGTCTCACATACGGGGTACGTGCGTTCTTTCGTGCAGGCAGTGGAACCATTCAACCCCGTTCCCTTCAGCCGCGAGAACACAGTGTTGCGTGCGAGATTACCACCAGATTCGGTCTACGTCATCCCAAATGCGATAGTCGCAGACCAGTTCAAGCCTGGCGTCGCCCACAAAGATACCGCTAGTGAAGGTTATCCATAGCAGCCCCCACTCATTGATGAACGGGCACACTGACTCGACATAACAACATGCAGTAACAATAGTCGTCATATCTCGCCTGGCATATCGGAAGGGGATAGACTTGCTCGTTGCAACGGCACCTCGGATATGCAAGCTATTTCCAAACGTGAGATTTGTTGTAGGTCCGTCTTGCTACGTTTATCGTCGCACAATATACTCACCCAAGGCAATGCAGGAGGCGACGGTCCGAAGATGATCGACCTTCTTCAGATGAGGGAGAAGCACATGCTGCAAGATCGAATAGAGATGTTGGGCCACGTCCGCCATAATGGTGTCCGAGACGTAAGGCACTTGCCGCGCTAAGGTCCTCCCTAGATGGTTGACCAAGCTATTTCCCTGCAAGGTTCTAGCTCGGGGGTCGATCTTCCTCAACACATCATTGACAGAGTCATTTGGCATCGCGATCCTTGAAGCAGCTTGCGCAGGACTCTACGTTGTTGCAACCCGCGTTGGCGGTGTCCCTGAGATCCTCCCCGAAGACATGATCTCCTTTGCCAATCCAGACGAAGACGGTTTGCTTCACTCTCTGATAGTAGTCGAAAGCAGCGCCTGAAGCGAGCTGTCAGATGTCGTGCGAGCCATGGCAGAAGCCGTCGACATCGTTTCAAAGGGTCAGCATGATCCTTTGCGAGCGCATGAACGCGTGAAGCAATTCTACGACTGGGCACCGATTGCGGAGCGTACGGAACGCGTATACGCGAACGTTCGACGAACACAGCCCCGTTCGTTTTGGGTTCGAATGCAAAGGTCGGCGTCACCATATCTGTCGGTATCGAGCGTCTAATATGTACCCTTTCAGGACACTGGAGTTAGGGCGATTCGTAGGACCCATCTTTGCAATCATTCTGTTGGTCGACTGCCTGTTCTTCGTGTTCCTAGAGTGGTGGATACCCCGAGATTTTATTGACAAAGTGGAAATGCACTGGGACCAGCGACGTTTCGCACAGGTGCGATTGGCTCGTTGCCCCGCGCTTTCGCAGTCTTGACCATACACGATCAGCTGGCCGAGGAGGTTGAGAAGCGCGAAAATCTGGAAGAGCCGAAGACGGGCTCCGAGTCCGCATGAAGCCTCATGACGGACGGACAGCTAGTATGAAGACTGTTGTTTCTCCGTACAATGATATTGTCTATTGCGCTACTGTCCGTGGTTTGCTGACCGATTCTCGGAAGGTGTCTGCGATATGTGATATCGGTGACGTCTTCTATGGTCGGCACGGTGCTATCTGAGCGGTGAATCTGATTCGAACCTAGTCTACGCTATCAAACAGCCGCGCGGGGCCATGTGGATCCTCTGCTTCGGTATAGCAATTCCTCTATCAAATGTTATTTAATCCGCACTGCAAGTCGTCTGAGATCTCCTTACTTCCGTCCTTCTCGCTTCCTTCTTCCCAACGACGCCAACGGTCGTGCTCGAAGACCCGGATCCACTGTGCGTACCCTTGATTCCCGTTCACGGTTTGAATACGTAGTGCTCAACTCCATTACGTTCTGCTGCGTGCTGTCATCAGATGGAGACTCCTGCAGACGAGAAGAAGTCCGTTTTCGGCGTCGAGGAGCTCAATGTCACCGAGAGGACATCGAGCTCGCTGAGCTATTATCATGGAGTGCTTGATAGGATAACCCACACGTTGACACGTTGGGGTATCGAGACCAATGGGTATGTCTCCATGGTTTGCCAGCCCGGAGGAGCCGTCACATATTATGATACAACATGACAGTATCGATCCGATTCCTCCAGCAGAAAGGACAGATAGCAGGTTGTATCAGCTGTTCTTCGTTTGGTTCACAGCGAACATGAATGTTATTGCGTATGTCTTTCTTCTGCGTGACCCATCTCGTTCGTCTGCTGACATTTTACTGTTTAGATTTGGTACAGGCTCTGTAGGACCAGCTTTCTACGGACTCGGCCTGAAGGAGTCCCTTGTAATCCTCTTGATTGTTGATGTGATGTGGGTAGAAATGCTTCTACACTGCATGGCTATTGACAGAGCCCGTTCCACACTATCTGTAGATCATGCACGATCCCTGCATACTTGCAAGTTCACTCAGCGCTGCCGCAGATTGATACGTGTAACACTGACATATCGCAGTGCCGTCTTGGGGCCTAAGCTTGGAATGCGCTCAATGGTCCAAGCACGCTACACTTGGGGGTGCGTGTAGCTGCTTCTCGGGCTCAATCTCAGCCTCTGTCAATGGTGTTTAACAAACAACAGCTACTATGGTGTTATGCTTCCAAGCGTTCTGAACGTCTTCTCGATGGAAGGCTTCCTCATCTTAAACACCATCATAGGAGGTCAAATGCTAGCAAGCGTATCCGATGGGCATCTGAATGATACTCTCGGAATCGTGATTATCGCCATCATATCGTTACTGGTAAGCTTCTGTCGCACTACCGAGTACCTTTCACGGCGCTCAGACTCACCAGGTCTCGTTCTGTGGCTACAGAGTCATCCATTGGTCAGAATATTTTTTTTCTTTCTGTCACCTAGTTCCTAAATGCTGATCCGCCATAGGTTTGAGAGTGTCGCTTGGGTACCGAACGTGATCGCCTTCATCATCATGTTGGGTATCGGAGGGAAGCATCTCAACGATGCTCCGGCTTCCGGTCCAGTCTCTGCATCAACCGTTATAACGTTTGCGACTGTCACTGCGTCTAGCGTAATCAGCTGGTGTTCAATGACCCCTGACTATGGCGTTTACCATCTGGAGAGCGCGTCGCGGTACGTGATGGCACATGTCCCTAACTTGACGCTCACTTCGCGGCTACAGACTTCGAGTGTTCCTATATGCCTACGCTGGGTTCTTGATAGCGAGCGTACGTTCACTTCGAAGCAAAAACGTACCTTGAACCTTACTATGTTCAGATCACGGGCCACATGTTAGGCGCGGCATTCGCTGCCGTAGCACTTTCCGGCACCAACCCCGTGTGGCAGGCAGGATTCGACGACGGTAACAACGTCGGCGGATTGTTCGAGGCCATCTTGTCCCCTACCGGGGGTTTTGGCAAGTTCATGACTGCTCTGTGTGCGCTCACGATCCCGAGTGCTTGCGCTCCCACGGTGTACACCTTTTCGTCAAGCTTAATGACGGTTAGCTACTTCTTCGCGAAGGTGCCGAGATACATATATGCTATCATCGCCACAGCGATGTGAGTGGTTGATATTGTGCATATTGATTCAGAAGCAGTTGTTGACATCTTGCATTCCTTTGCAGTTTGATCGGGGTAGGCATCGTATGCGCTCAGCGGTTCTATACCACGTTTACGGACGTCATGAGTACGCACCGACACGCCGCACTTTGTTCCACAAGCTAAAGAAATTTCTGATTTTGTAGGTCTCATTGGATATTGGAGTGTTGTGTACGGAGTCATGATCCTTGTGGAACACTACGTGTTCCGCAAGGATGATTTCGCTGCATACGACTTGAATGCATGGAACCAACCCCGAAGGCTGCCTCTTGGCGTGGCCGCCACATTGTCTTTCCTATGCGCGTTTGGAATCATCATACCTTGCATGGACCAAGCTTGGTACGTAGGCCCCATTGCGAAGGCAGGGAGCGGAGACATAGGCATCATTGTGGGGAGCTGTATCATCTGCATTCTCTATCCATGCTTCAGAGCTATCGAGCGAACGATGTGGAGATTTTGATCATTTTGCTGGATTTGATTATTTGATACTATATAGAATGGCTGCATAGGCTAGATGAAACGTGATATTGTTGACCTGAGGATGTGAGTACTTATCCCGGTAGAATTTAAAAAAAGAAATAAAAAAGAGTACTTATCCCGATGACGTGTCCGAGTCCGGTCTACGGCTTAGTATTAAGCGCTTGAGGGTGCCGATCCCGATCTATCGCCACTACTGTCGCTGTTCCGAGTCGAAACCCCAACTTACCTCCGGACCGCATCATCCGTATGTCTCCGTATGTGCGGTAGGTCAAATATACCAATGTGCCAGCTTCAAGGAGCTTGCTGTCTTCCATGTGGGGCTCAAAGGCCTG